CACCTTGGCCGTAGAGGGATAGACATCTATTTCTTTATTTGTTTAGTTAATTAGTTAGTTAGTCAGCTAGTTAGCTAGTTAGTTAGTCACAGGTTAGTTAGTTAGTTAGTTATTTAGTTAGTCAGTTAGTTAGTTAGTTAGTTAGTTAGTTAGTTAGTTAGTTAGTTAGTCACAGGTTAGTTAGTTAGTTAGTCACAGTTTAGTTAGTTAGTTAGTTAGTTAGTTAGTTAGTCACAGGTTAGTTAGTTAGTTAGTTAGTTAGTTAGTTAGTCACAGGTTAGTTAGTTAGTTAGTTAGTTAGTCACAGGTTAGTTAGTTAGTTATTTACAGGTTAGTTAGTTAGTTATTTACAGGTTAGTTAGTTAGTTAGTTATTCAGTTAGTCAGTTGGCTAGTTAATTAGTTAGTTAGTTAGTTAGTTATTTAGTTAGTTAGTTAGTTATTTAGTTAGTCAGTTAGTTAGTTAGTTAGTCACAGGTTAGTTAGTTAGTTAGTTAGTTAGTTAGTTAGTTAGTTAGTTAGTTAGTTATTCACAGGTTAGTTAGTTAGTTAGTCACAGTTTAGTTAGTTAGTTATTTTGTTAATCAGTTAGTTAGTTAGTTAGTTAGTTAGTTAGTTAGTTATTTAGTCAGCTAGTTAGTTAGTTAGTTAGTCACAGGTTAGTTAGTTAGTTAGTTAGTTAGTCAGCTAGTTAGTTAGTTAGTTAGTTAGTCAGCTAGTTAGTTAAGTGGTTAGTCACAGGTTAGTTAGTTAGTTATTTAGTTAGTTAGTTAGTTAGTTAGCTAGTTAGTTAGTTAGTTAGTTATTTAGTTAGTCAGCTAGTTAGTTAGTTAGTTAGTCACAGGTTAGTTAGTTAGTTAGTTAGTTAGTCAGCTAGTTAGTTAGTTAGTTAGTTAGTCAGCTAGTTAGTTAAGTGGTTAGTCACAGGTTAGTTAGTTAGTTATTTAGTTAGTTAGTTAGTTAGTTAGCTAGTTAGTTTGTTAGTTAGTTAGTTAGTTAGTTAGTCAGAGGTTAGTTAGTTAGTTAGTCACAGGTTAGTTAGTTAGTTAGTTAGTTAGTTAGTTAGTTACAGGTTAGTTAGTTAGTTAGTTAGTTAGTCACAGGTTAGTTAGTTAGTTAGTTAGTTAGTCACAGGTTAGTTAGTTAGTTAGTTAGTTAATCTATGCAAATTTCCTTCATTACTATGATTAATAATATTATTATTACAATTCTCACTTTGAATTATTTGCACCCGTCATTCTAAATTCTTTACAATATTGAATTCTATCTGATAGAAGAATTTCACACCATGTTATGTAACTTTACATATTTGCCCGCCAACGCTATTATTATACACCCCTTTGCAACATCTATGCATCTTATGAATTATTCTATATATGACATTACTTATTTCGCCACTTGACATTTAACTATTATTAATGGAATGAAGAGAACACGAAGTTCAGCAAAGACAACTGTCTTTCCGGCGATTTCATTTTCAAAAGCAGCTATACAATCGCATTTAAATACATAATTTTACACAGATATAATTTTTATTTGATTCCGCACAATTACGAAGACGAATAAAAGGTGACAACTAGATATTTTCAACTAGATATGGTTTACGAGAGGCTTAGAGACAAAATCACACAAGATTAGGACGAATTATAAGTCTGTAAAAAATGAGCATGGAAACAAATTGAAATAATTATTTTCAACTTGAAATGGAGGTTAGGAGGTGTGAATATAGATTACAAGAGTCTTAGAAAGAAACAAGAATTGCACAGGATGAGGATATAATTGCAAAATAATTGTTTTCAAAGAAGTGTAAATGTGAGCAGTAAAGGAAGCATGGAAACAAGCTTAAAATAAGTGTGTTCTTATGACTGAAAAAGTGGGATGAATTGAATGAAGACAGAGAGAATAAGATCCACACACACACACACAGCGAACGAAAAAAAGTGATACAAAAAGTCGAAATGAACAAAAAGAGATAAACATGTGTCAAGTACATCTGAAGGAAGTCTTGTCTCCAGGTTTTCTAAGCCTATATCAAAATAATTTTATGCCTCAAGCAAATAAAATCCTCATAAACAACAATTATCAGACACCTTGTGGATACAGAGTGTGGTGGGATAAGTGTTTGGAAAATTTCTCACGAGAGATCTAGTCACGATATTGCTACTTATTCAGGTGTTCCTGATAACTTGGTGGTTTATGATCCCTGCTTGTTCTCCCAGACTGAATATCATTGTTCTGACATTTGCATGTCATCTAACATCTCTGACGGAATCCTCATTGTTTCTCATTGTTCCTGTTCATTCTGTAATTTCACTGCTTCTCTTTTTGTGGATGTCTCATGCATGATGAGATTGATGACGATGTGTTGTTCTATGACGGTGATTCAATTTGAGTGAGTGAAGGTCATCATTCTGACGTTGAAGTGTCTGTGGGAATTATTTTGTGTGTGTGTGTGGGATTCTTGCTGACAGAGTTTCGATCTCACCCGTTGTCTGGAATATTCTACTTGATTATCTGGTAACTCCATTATGGTTGATAAGATTTTATTTTGATAAGTCACACAGTGCCTGTTGTACAGCAATATTAACTGACAACCATGCTTCGAGCACAAACTATTGCCACTGATAATCATATCAAGACACTACTCACAGCATATCTCTAGCTTCTTGACACACATATAAACTCACTCACTGGTGAAGGGAATAAAATTCGCATTTGAATCGGAGGAAAATGAACAAGGAGAATTAGCCATGATGTTAGATTGTAAAGTCAAATCAAACTAACAGAAGAAAGTAAACTGAACACTAGCGTTTATAAAAGGCAAAGGCAACGCACTGTAGTAGATATTTTGACTTTAATTCATCTCATCCTCCGTTAACTGTTAAGGCAGGCTTAGTCAAGTGTCAAACAAACCGAGCAGTAGCACTAAGCAGCACAAAAAGATACCTGAATGATGAAATGAAACAGATAGAAGAGGCGTTGGTGTTCGATAACTATCCCACGAAATTCATTAGGAAGATCAGAAAAGTCCAAAAGAAAACATAAATAAGAGAGAATATACGGAATCTATTGTTATACCATATAAGAAGGGGAAATCTGAGACCCTATGTAGGATTCATAGTAAAGCAGGAATTACGGTGGTATTCGAACATGCAAATTCACTCAGACAGGACAAGCTCTGTAGGCTAAGGGAACCGGTGGAGCGCATTAAACAAAATAATATAATCTACAGAATACCTTGCAATTACTGTGAGTTAAGTGAACTATATAAGTCAAACTAGTAGATCAGGGGTATTCAGATCGTCGGAAGATACGAATATAGCTAAGGGAGTAATAGTTGACCCCGAGAAGAAGATGAGTAATTTAGAAAAACTCAGCTATAGCACTGCATGCATTGACACACAACGACACAATAGGATGAGTGGGATAAGGTTAAGATTCTAAGAAGTAATCTATGTCGCTGGAGAGAGAGAGAGAGAGATTGATTACTGAATCCTGCCTGGTTCATTGAGTCTACAATCAACACATGCAATAGGAATGACTCCATTCGAATAACGAAAATATGGAAGATATTATTACGAACAGTCAAATCAGAAGGGGATGACAAATAATCTTAAAATTCTATTTCAATTCACTTACACCATAACATTCTAACAAGTTATTTATTATTATGACTGTAGAAACACTCGTCTTGTTTCCCATCTGATCAGAACTCAGATATGTTCTGCTCAGCTATGCGGTAGAACGCGACGATTGTTTTCCTGTGTTCACAATATAACACGTCAGTTTCGAACGTTACACAGGACACTTTCTCGAGATCCCTGAATCATTTCCAGTATTACATGTCCAGAAGACACTAGATTTACAACGATTTACTGAAGAGATTACAGTGTATTGTTTCCAAGGCGCCTTATGCATGCATAATGAGAGTGCGGTCTGTCTGTCTGTCTGTCTGTCTGTCTGTCTGCCTGTCTCTAAATTCCTTAGTGGGTGTATTCTGATTTTGACTGCATTGATTACATAATCGTATGCTTTAAAGTTTCAGGAGCGGTTGGATCGATTTCCCAGGTAAATTCGCCAACCCTACACCCAACCTTCCCTCTCTTCCCTGGCTTAGGACTGGCTAAATTGTAGTAAACTGAGCTAGGTTGCATAGTTATCCATATTACAGATTTCCCTTTACTGAGCTGAATTGAAACATATGAGCTGCATGGCTTTCTTGAATTGTAATGTAACCTTTGTATTGCCAGCAACGTTTATTCTTCTGTTTTCTGTCTCCTGTCTTCAACTCACCCGCGTTTTCTGTCCTGGTGAGGACTGGAACTAAAAAGGTAGTCATGCTTACATTTTGTGACAGCTAATAAAAATCGTTCTAACGTTGAAGTAGGGTTATTTCCACTCTGTTATGACCGCTGTAATTTCAATCAGTCTGCAGCTGATGACAGACAGCCTGTGAAATGAAATGACGTCATTTTATACTGCAAATCTGATTTTATTTTTCTCTTGCATTTATCGACAAACGACGTTACGCTTTGTGATGCTTTGACAATTTGATAGCAAGTTGAAGGCCTCTAGATACCGAATACTGCAAACAGCAGAGGCCATTGCAGTTCGCTCAAGTCAACCGGAACTCAGCGTGCAAAAGTAACAGGTCGATCATGCCAGCCACTACCGTTACTCTGACCCGCTGTCGGACCTTTGAATTCATAAATTTTCAACTATTTTCCCGCATGAAACAATTTTCTACTGATTGATTGGGATGAGTAGTAGCATACCACTGATAGATCACCTCGATCTGGCTGGCTGGCTGGCTGGCTAGCTGGCTAGCTGGCAAGCATTCACTACTGGTTGATATAAGTGGTATGCCACTACCCCTCCCAATTAGTCAGTAGTATATAGTGTTATGTGTAAACAGTTCAACTCATTCGAAGAACATTTTAAAAAATAGAAAAAAAGGCATGAGAAGGAACAAAGAATATTTTTGTTGTTTATGTGACTCACTCTGATTTGAGGACCTGTTTGAGCATTTGAATTGTCAGTATTTCGAGCTGGCTGATAACGTATATTTGTGTCATTTGGCACTTCGATAATAACCTGTAAATAAAGGGCAAAACAATTAATAATAATATTATTATTATTGCTAGTATTACCGTAACTATGCATTCTAAAGAGATCAAAGCACAAACATGTGAACTGAAATAAACTTTATTTCAGTATCTCACCACACACACACACACACATCTCACGCATTTGGAACCCTTGACGCCATAGAAGGAGAATTCGACCTCCCGAAATAAACCTCCATCCTAACAGGAATTTAAAGGACTGAACGAAATGATGTATTCCTTTTCAATTAGTTCCTCATCATCATTGGCCTTACACTAATGCACATATATATATATATAAGAAAACCGTCTCCATGCATTTGGAATTCAAAGGTGATCAAGCTTCATCAGATATGCTCAAAAGCCGTCTCTCTAAAGCAGTTGGTAAGGCGTTGTTTGCAACAAAATTACAAATGACGTTCACCAGCCGCAAGTCCTTCTCCATCTCTGTAAGTGATAGGCTCAGCCATCTCACCGCCTCCATATGCGTCCATCAGTTCACCTGCTCTTTTGAGGCAAGGTACTTTGACCGTAGCCAGAGAACGCTTTTCACACAGATTCGAAAACGAATTCCAGCATGGTTTTACAAGGAAGGAGGGAAGAATGCGTGAAGCTGTTTTCTAGAACACCTGATCGACTCCTGTCACTTAACTAACCGTGATCATGATTTTATTTCTGTCTACTGAATCCATGCTAACTTGCTGCGTTTTCTTCCTTATGCACTTCTAATTACGTTCGAAGCCTTTTCCACCCATGTGTTTGAGGCATCTTTACCTTTGTGAACAAAAATATTTTGTTCAATCTCTACTTCTGCCTTTTCCTAGGAGAGATATACATTTTTTATTTGTTTTTTTTATTTAGTTATTCTGTGTACCTTCCCTTATTACTACGATTATTATTATAATTATCAATATTCTCACTTAGAATTGTTTCCGCTTGTCCCACTTGTCATTCTAAATCCAAAATTATTTTGTTTACAATATTGAATTCTATCTCATAGAATTTCACACAGTGTTATGTCACATTCTATATTCATTGATTAACCAGTACTTAGTTCAAGAAATAAAGACAAACTGTTCTGTTTCGCCTCTTTCATGTGTATTCACCAGTTTAACTGCTCCTGCAGAGTTAGTTACATTGGCCATGAATTCCAGCAAGTTTATCATCGAATTTCTGAGCACATTTCAATTTGATTTGGCAGAGGTCCCAATAAAGTTACAACGTAGCTCGATACACGAGTTCATCCGGTCGTTATCGGACATGAACCTGACTCTAACAAAGCTTTTAAAGTTATGCATCGTATTTCTGCTAACCTTTTACATAGTCTACAAGGTCGACTTTTGCATAACAGAAGAGGCAATCGAAATTCATCTGAAAAAGTTGAATCTCGGAGTTGAAAATAAATTTGTACAGCTCATTCCTTTGCCAAGGCCAACTACATAATTTTTGTTAAGATGTTAGGAACGACTATTTCCCCTCCCCTTGTAACTATATTTTGACTTTATTATTATTTTTACAGTTTGTATTTAACGTAATTATTCTGAGTCATCAATGCTGTTTTACTAATTTCTTGATTATGTAACAACTTGTGCCTAACGCCCACGAATTAACTTATCTTGAGTTCTGTAATTAATTTTCATCCTTCCTTCAAAACTTAGACACCTTGTGAATGACATTATTACTTAATTGATTTGATGACTTCTAGCCTGTTAATTTTCCACCCCTCTCCCATATACCTGAAAGTGATTAACTAAAATGACCGTTTGATTGGTAAACATTTTGATGTAAATACAGTCTGTATATTAGTGTAGAGCCAGTCAATGATGAGGAACTAATCGGAATTGAATGTTTGTACAGCTAAAGAGTGAAATGAATGCAGTGAAAAGAGTCTCATCACTGAACTGTCTGTTTTGTGCCCTTTTTCAACCAATGCTTAGATGTAGATTATTCATTTACGAATTTTTCAAATAACAGAAAAACAATCAATAAAATTATTAAGAATAAGTTATATAATCTTACTGAACGCCTGGAGTTTTGAGTCATTGTACTACGACTCTCCTTGGACTGTCAGACAAATTTGTCGGATAGAAGAATAGAAGTAGAGTGATTCAAGTGCTGGAATTTTTCTCTGAAAAAAGACAAACTATTATATGTATATCAGACTGAATACTTTCCGTAATCTATTTATGCATGTAAGCATACACTCACACATACCAACACACATTTACACACCCTACCTCTCTATCTCTCACTCTGTCTCACTCACTCACTCACTCACTGGCTGGCTGACTGACTGGCTGGTTGGCTGGCTAACTCACTTGCACACCTTAATAATAATTATACACCATTACTGCACATAGACAGAAACACAGCACAGATTCACAGACGTACAACATGCAGTCAATCAATCAACCAATCAATCATGAGCAGTTAATAGTACCTACATTGTGATTGGTGTAAATCTGCGATTTGAGTTTGCCTTTATTTGCGTAACACACTTCGAACAATCTGATCACACACACGGACTTGTCATAGGAATATATCTATGTATGAAATTAATAAAGAGTTAGGAGGTGAGAAAATAGACAAGTTAGGTGAAGTTCAAAAAGCACATTCAAGGTCAAAATAACAATGAAGACCACTAAACCGAGTAGCAGAGGTATCAAAACAAAATTTACCAAGGAAGGTTTTAATGTGATGACGAATTGTTGCTTTGAACGCATAAAGGTGGTCTTAGCTTCCTTAATGCCAGCCAGGGCTTCCACAGACTTTAGGATACGCCTTCTCCCAGACACGTTTCATGGATGGATAGGTTTAAAAGACGTGTAAATGTCAATTTTATGTCCTGTCTCTATAATATGCTTCGCCAATAGAGGAGCTAGGTCTCCTGTTCTCACCATTAATGGGTTCTTGGGACTATGTTTCCTTCTGAAGCCATTTAGGAATGTTCTCTGAGGCCAATCCTTATTTGCAGAGATTGATGAGTCCTCCCTATGTATGTGTGTCCACACGTACATTCAAATTCGTAAATACATTGGGATGTGACATCATCTTTCGCATGTTCAAAGGGCTTAGATAGATATATTGGCTTCACATTCCCAATTATTATGATATTGGCTGCATGAAAATTCTTTTACAGCAGCGTTCAATCTTTATCTAGTTATCAAGCTGCTATGATGCCCCACCTATGGTAGCTTGATGTACACGTCTTTCTTAGGGGTGAGTTGTAGACTGGGTCTTGGTGTTCTGACTACTTTATATCTCCTGATGAACTTTTCCCGATAACTGTTATCAACCAGAGTTTGTGTCAACTTTCTGTCTTCCTCATCGAGTGTGTCTTCAGTGCATATTCGTTGGATTCTACTGAAGACGCACCTCGTTCACTAAGGCTCTTTTGTAACGAACAGGGCAGAAACTGTGGTAATTAAGAAGCTGTCCTTTCCAGGTAGGTTTCCTATGAATAGATCTATTTATTGACCCATCAAGCCGTTGACTAAGCAATATGTATAGGAAAGATAAACAATTATCTTCCTCTTCTACAGATGTAAGTGATATGCTATTTTGGACTTCATTCATTCGATTTAAAATTGAGGTGGCAGAACAAGTCTTATCACTGATGATTACAATATTATCTAAATACCTTCTATAAAGTGGCACATTTTCGATTAAATCCTCCGATAAATTCTCAATGTACGATATATAAATATCTGCTAAAACGGGCCCTAACCGACTTCCCATAGCATCAGCATCAACTTGGCGGAAACAGTCACCTTCAAATGTAAACCTAACATTGTTAGTACATAGAAGTAATAAATCCTTTAAATAAGATATAGGGAACGGGATGAAAAAATTGTTTGTGGAAATGTAATCACACAAAATATCTACTCTTTTGATCAAAGGCACATTAGTGAGTAACGATTTTACACCAAAAGAGTACATATTCTTATTCATAATATTAATATCGTCAAGAAAATTAACCAATTCAAATGTATCTTTTAACACATACTTACAGAATTGTGTTTTGACTGGATGCAATAATTCCACTAACCATTTAGCAAGCTTATGCGTTGGGGATTTGCACATTGACAATAGAGGATGTAGAGGATTATTGGGTTTATGTATTTTTGGTAAACCATACATATGCGGGAATTTACATTCTGATGGTTTTATTTCCCATCTGATTGTATTTGATTGATAACACTCATATTATTATTTCTGAATGTACTTTATCTTATTATGGTTTTTATTCAAATGTCTAATCGATTTCACTCATGTGTATAAATGAAGGAAAAAGTTGTGTGAGTACCTTGTTGCCATTATGAGCAACAGGTTGTGCTCGAAACGTGGTCATCAGTTAATATTACTGTATAAGACTGTGCGATTTATCAAAATAAAATGGAGTTATACCAAAGTGTCCAAATTTTATACTTAAATCAAGAACTGTGATTTAGTTGAGATTTTGCAAATTTTATTTCTGTCTGCTGATAATTTTAAAGGATGCCCCGATATCCACCTCGTGATCCGTATTGATGATATGTCTGGCAACGGAAATGTTGTAAGCATTTTTTCCTTAAGATATAGGCTTTCTGGTATGCTATATTGGCAACTTGACGTACAGATGTAGATAAAGTACGTTTAGCGTATATATGAAAATCACAATCTGCACATGTATTCTCTATTGTGCTCTATGACTTCCTTTCACGTTTTCCATATTATTTGTGAAGCATCGCACATTTCTCCTCTTCTCCATTAAATCATTACATCAACCATATAGGATAACAAGAAGGGAGAGAAGGAAGAGAGTAAGTGTGCCAGAGGAGAAGGAGGGGGAGGGAAACACCCTACTGTCAAAGAATACAATATTAACACTATTCAAGTGTTGAATTGTAGGGATTTGATTGGGTTTGAATCCCGGTGGGTGCGTACTGTGAAGAGTCCCAAACTGGGACGAAACAGCTGTCCAGTTCTCCCAGGTTTTCCAATGGTTCTCTAACTAATGTCAGCTCATGATGAAAATCCTGTAATATTAACATTAATTTAACTGTACCTATTATTACAATAAATAGTGTTGAAATCTCCAAATCAATTACGGACTTGGTGACAGGTGACTAACTAACCAACTAACTAACTAACTAACCTGTGACTAACTAACTAACCAACTAAATAACTAACTGACCAACTAACTAACTAACTGACTAACTAACTAACTAACTAACTAACTAACTAACTGACTAACTAACTAACTAACTAACTAACTAACTAACTAACTAACTGACTAACTAACTAACTAACTAACTAACTAACTAACTAACTAACTAACTAACTAACTAACTAACTAACTAACTAACTAACTAACTAACTAACCAACTAACTAACTGACTGACTAACTGACTAACTAACTAAATAACCAACTAACTAACTAACTCACTGGTTGAGTAATTGCCTTTTGCATGCATAGCTCTGGTTTCTCTATCTGAATAGCTTCAGCTTAATCAATTCTAAGGAGATGAGGGCGTATTGCCTTTGGCAGGTTGTTCTTCACTTTGTAGATGACTTTGAAGGAGGAGGAGGCGTTTTTTATTGAGATGGAATGACCAATGTTGACAAGGCGTTGGATTAGAGCCTGGATTTCTGTAACTAGACACGATAGTGTTCTACAACTCTCTTAGACTGGATACGAGTCGAGAGAACCATATACCTAGTTCCACAAGAACAGGTGACTTGATATATGTATATATAGAAGCGGTCAGATGCGAGGCTTCTTCAGACCAATGGACAACTGTAGAACAATAATTATTAGCATTGCTACGAAGAATGTTATTCTTAGAGATGATGAAATTCTCCTCTTAAGGATATCTCAGTCAAAGTCTACCTTGAAATCTAGATTCATATAAAATTTCCTTTTTAAAAACAGGTAATATTTCGTCCCTCTGAACTTTTGTTTTGATATTCCTGTCAATGAATCTTGGTGGACATCCATTTTTGTCGAAGGTTTCCTTCAGAAGATCTAGTTGTGCTTCTAGAGCATCAGGATTACAGGTGTCACGTCGGATCCGAGTTGCAAATGATTCAATTAAGTTTCGACATTCAACGGGCACCCAACTGGATAAACTCGTTAGTTGACTGTTCTAAATGACTTTCCTGTGGACTGCCCCTCTTAAGGTTTCGCTGGAACTTCTTGTGAGTTAAGCATCATGAAAGGGAATCTCTGATTCATTTTCCTTTTCAAAAATGAATTTTATTACAGAATGGCAGTTGTTAAAGAAGTACTTGTAGCTGTTGACTGGGGCCATAACGATTGTCAAAAATGATGAAATTAACATCTTTGTACCTTGTATGCAGTTGTAAATTGTCCGTGATCAACTTTAGTCGACCGCTCTTGAGGCCAGCGATGAAACCATCAGCTACTAATCGACTCAGGTGAGATCCCACTGCAATACCATGCTTTTGTCTGTAGATGGTATCACTGAAAGTGAATTATGCATTGACAGTACACTTTAGAGACAGTACTTTCAAACATGTTGTTATTACTCCAATATTGAACTGGTTATCATCTGTATATATTTACATATAAAACAGACAAGTTCTGTAAATGATTACACTGAACCAAAATATCTGATTTCTGTTGAAACGTCGACACCTAGTTGGGACACTTCGACAATGTCTGCAGATTGACGTGGTTTCTGTGGCTAGCAGGGAAGTTCACGACCCATTAGCCTAGTGGTTAGAGTTTTGTGGCGTTTGAAATAATAACTGCCGTATCTGACGAGTCTCAAAGTAACCCGGAATCTGCATCCTGGATTCCACCGCTTTATTCCAAATCAGTACTAATGATACTGTGTGGAGTTTCCAGCCTTCGGTAAAATATTGCATCGAATTTTATCGAATAACATTAAAAACAGTTATAAAAATAATATTACAGGATTGTTAATGGCAGTTCTTATTCAGTATTTTAGTGACATTAAAATCATAAACATACAAAAAAATGTAAAATAATGATAGTAATGTTAGTAGCTCAGATGGTTAGTTAATTGAGATAGTGT